GGGTGGAGGAAGAATCTTCAAAGAATATTTGGTGCCATTGTTACCAGTGAGGAGAGGAATTCTTGCAAAAAAAAAAAAAAAAAAAAAAAAAGGCATTTTCTGAGACTCTGAAGGGAGAACTGATGATTTTTTTATTTGCATGTGATTAAATCCTTGAGTTCCCATTTTCCTCAGTCCCACCACAGGAGAAGTCCCATTTTGCTCTTTTAAAAAAACATATTTTTATTGATTTCAGAAAGGAAGGGAGAGGGAGAGAGAGAGAGAAAAACATCAATGATGAGAGATTTATTGATTGGCTGCTTCCTGAATACCCCCTTCTGGGGATGGAGCCTGCAACCAGGGCATGAGTCCTGTTCAGGAATCGAACTGTGACCTCCTGGTTCAAAGGTTGACACTCAACCAGTGAGACATGCTGACTTGGCCAATTGTGCTTTTAATTGAGCTGAAGTAAAGCCAGTGTCCAGAGTTTCCATTCCATGTCTTCACAGACTACTGCAGCATCAGGCCAGCTCACCGTGTATTCCCAGCTACAGACCCTCAGTCCACTTGCACGTGGGGTCCGCAGGGCACGTGCCATGGAGAAAACACAGGTGAATGCAAGGACGCAGGAACAGGAGAGTTCCATGAACCCAGAGCAACGAGAGAGAGAATTCCTTTGTTTAGGGGGCTACGTATCCCCAAATTTTTGTGCGTTTACAGTGGCCCCGCTCATTCTGGCCAATGATCTTTGTTTTCAGGTTTGACTGACAAGTACCTTCCCCAGGTCACCCTAACTTTACTGCACACGGGCCCGTCTCCGTGGCTGGGCCCCTTCCCAGTGACCTGTGGGGAAAGGGCGGTGGTTCCCTGGGGAGTATGAAATTGCAGCTTCCTGGTGAAGCTGCCCAAATGACACGTCTCTAATGTCTGGCCTTCCCTTTGGTCCTTTTCTATTATTAATAACCAGCTCATTACTACAAATCGCCACCACTTTTCCTACAAGAAGGGAAGCCTGTGACTTCCTTTTTTTTATATATATAATATATTTTATTGATTTTTTACAGGGAGGAAGAGAGAGGGATAGAGAGTCAGAAACATCGATGAGAGAGAACCATCGATCAGCTGCCTCCTGCACGCCCCCCACTGGGGATGTGCCCATAACCAAGGCACACGCCCTTGACCGGAATCGAACCTGGGACCTTCCAGTCTGCAGGCTGATGCTCTATCTACTGAGCCAAACCGGTTTCGGCAAGCCTGTGACTTCTATGTCAGGGTGCGGGCGGTGGCAGCCTGACCAGAAGGCAGGCTCGGACACACAGCGCCCAGGACAGCCTGGCGGGCCCACAGCCCTGGTTCATCTGAAGAGTTCACACAGTGACTCTCACATTCACCTATTCCTACCAAACTCAAGGGCCACCGTCATAGGGATATAACCCTGGGAACAAGGGAAAGGGGCAGAATCCTGGGTTTATTTCTACGCTTTGGGCAAAATAATGAAACTTTAGGCCAGTAATACAGCATTATCAAAGTAACTAGTTTTTCTGACAGACATTTCTCCTCTAAAAAACTTAAACTGGTTGATTTGGTTAAAACATAAATAAGGAAAATTGTATCCCATGTCATGTGCAGAAACCAAAGTGAAATAGGGATGCTTTATGTTACTTTCTATATGCCTATCATTAAAAACCATCTCCTACATGAACTCCAAGGGCTGTGGTCAGTGGGAGATAATGAAATCTGGTAAGTAAAGTGCATGCAGAACGGCTGCGACTCTGGGAGAACAGGAAACCAGTCCTGTCTGATCAGGGGGCAGGGCGCCAGGCACGCGATGGGCGTGGCAGTGCCCTCTGGCCTGGTGAGCTCCCAGCCCAGACCTGGCAGGACCCCTGGGGCTCACGGCCTGGGATCGGTCAGCAGTGTTAACAGCTCCCAAGGTCAACCTCGGGCTCTGCTGTTTAAAACCACGGTGCCCGGCTGTGAAACAGCACTTTTCTGAGGAAGCCTAGGGGACTCTCTGATCACAGCAAACCTGAGGATCAAAGCTCACAAGAAACTTCTATTTGAGCGTCAGGCTAAAGAGTGTGAGAAAGCCATTCCCTTTTCACTCTCACATTTTGGTTTCTGGGAAAAGGATATCAAAAATTTAAATTAACTTCTTGTTTAGTAAACAAAAAACCTTCCCACCAAAAACAAAGAGAATGAAGGTAAGCCATAGGCCAAGATGTGCCAAAGCCACCACCCCTTTCTCGAGTCCCTTTCCTGTGTTTCTCGGCTGTGTTACCACAAATGTTCCCTCTGATGAGTGTCCAGCCCCTCAGCCCAGGGAGGAGGGTGAATGCCAGGCCAGAGAACACTGAGGCTGTGTCTACATTTATTTCTTACCTTTTACTTATTTTTTAAATTTTATTTTTATAATAAAATACACTTTATTTCTGCATGTGGTTTGTGTCACAAAATTCAGATTGGAGCACTCAGACCAGAAGCATATCTTAGTCTCAACTTTGAGCTGGGCATGGCCTGAGTCAACCTGATTTGACCTCCTTAATAGTCCCCACTGGGAAAGTTTTCTCTCTGAGCAGGGAATGTCTCTTGTAAAATAATCAACTGTGGGGCCATAGCAGTGCAGACAATCGTTATGAAACGAGACGATATGGTTAAAGTTGGGCTTTTAAATATTTTCTTAATTTAGAAGTCCAGGTTAAATTTCACCTGGCTATCAGCACCCAGCTTTCACAATGTCTTCTGAAACATTGTGTTCCGATGGTGAATTCCAAATGGAGTTGCACAAATAAATACTGAAGCCATGCCTAGAACAAAACCAGACCAAGTCCTAAAGTCAAACTGCTTTACACTAAACAAATTTCGACAATAATCACTGTTGCTTTCTTACTTAGTGGCTGACCCTAAGGAAAACAATATTTACTTATAATGAAGAGCCTAGGAGGATAAAAAAAAAAAAAACCAACACACGTATGTGCTTATTTTTACTCCACTCCCCCAAACTGAAGTGGCCGAATAGCCTACATGTACAACTGCCCGGGAAGCAGTCTTCCTCCAGTGGCGGGGACCTCTGCTCTCCTTCCCCGCAGTGCAGCATCAGGTGACTGCCCGCCTGACACATCCTGGCTTCCACACATGGTTTCCCAAACCACAGTCTCTATGTCCCTGTAGGACAGAACTCCGTCCATGACCATCTCTGGAGCATCGTCTCAGGAGGTTATACAGAGCTACTTGGGTGGACCAAGAGGTGGTCGCTGGAGGAAGGGTTCGGGCAGAGTCTGCGGGATGCCTGCCACGAGGGCACCAGATGCTCTGTCTGCACCCACCGCCTTTACAATCTGCCAGGAGCCCGCAAATCTCTCAAGAATTAAGACTTTGGTGCTAAACAGCTAATCCTCAAGAGGGACCTTTTCAAGACAATGGTGCTTAAAAGCAGAAAAAAAGACAGACTCAAAACAGTGCATACAGTATGACCCATGTTTAATAGGAGAAAAAAGAAAAACACACACACTTCCATAGGCACCAAACATTTGTAAAATCTGGGTGTCAGCTGGCAGAGGCCACCCATTCTCTCTCTCAGGGGGAGGCTTTTACCCTACAGACACTCCTATTTTTTTCTTTCAATCACAGACATGGATGGCTTTTATGTATTTTTAAGATTTGTATTGTTTATAAAGGCGATACTAGATGGTGGAAAAAGGACCTTCTGCCCTTGTCTCCGAAAAGTCCATAGAACTACAAGGAAAAGAACAGAAACACACACCTCAGAAACCGCATCGGGTCAGGAGCCTCCCCCCACCACGTGAAGCTGGAAACGGGCAGGAGCAGTGACGTGGCACCGTGGGGCAGACACCGCCACTCAGAGCCCGGGGAGTGTCCAGAGAGGAGGACCCGCAGGGAGGGGCAGGGGCAGGGACAGGCTGGAGGAGGAGGATGTCACAGCTGGGCTCTTAGGCCCCTGGGAGCCCTACACACACCCCCGTAGGCTGAGGGGTCTTGTGGAGAGACACTGAGCCATTCCAGAGGAAAGTAGTTGGGGGTCAAGGAAACAGCTGCAGGACACCGTGGTGGCAGCCCCGAGGGGAGCCCAGCTGCGGTGGCCTTGCCCGGCACCCAGAGCTCGCTTCGCTTGGGGACTATATGGGCTGACATCTGAGGAAAAGGAGAGCCTCCAATGTAAAGGGACGGGGAGCAGACGGGGAGGTAAGAGGAAAGCTTTGCCCCGTTTATTTCTGCAGGGAGAGGGCAGGCCCTATATCTATGAATCAAAAACGGGATGCTATAACCAACAAAAAGATCTAGAGATTAAAAATGCAATTTGCCAAAATAAAACTGAAAGGGTTATAACGTCCAGGAAACCTCCCAGAAGATAGAAAAAGAGGAGAGAAAAATAAGAAAATTACAAGATCAATCCAGGAAGCTTAATACGTGACTAAGAGGACTTCCAGTAAAAGATAAGAGAATGGTAGAGAAATTATCAAGTAAATCATTACCAGACCCGAGGCCGCCAACTTTCCCACAATGATTTTTTTAACTTGACTCAGCTTTTTATATATATATATATATATATATATATATATATATATATATATATGTGTGTGTGTGTGTGTGTGTGTGTGTGTGTGTGTGTGTGTGTATGTGTGTGTATTTGTTTAAAACTATTTCCTTATTTTTTACTGAGGTGAAATTCACATACCTTAACCATTTTAAAGTATGCCCTCAGTGGTATTTAGTGCATTTAGTGTTGTGCAACCACCACCTCTATCTAATTTCAAAACATTTCCATCCCTCCAAAAGGAAGTCCTGCACCCATTAAGCAGTCCCCCCCCCCCCCCCGTGTTCCTCCCCACCTCCTGGCAAACACCTATCTGCTTTGAGTCTACACAGCTTTACCAACTAGATACCATGTGTAAATAAAATCATACAGGATGTAACCTTCTGTGCATGGCTTCTTTTACTCAGCATAATATCTTAGAGATTCACCCATGTTGTAATATGTATCAGTACTTCATGCCTTTTTATGGCTGAAAAAATCTTCCAGTGCATGTATACGCCACATTTAGTTTATCCATTTATCAGATGAAAAACATTGGGTTATCTCCACCTTTTAGCTAGGAATTCTCCTGTGAACATTCCTGCATTGAGGGTCTGCCCCCTGATGGTCGGTGAGCATCATAGAGACCGGTCATTCCACTGTTCGGCTGATTTGCATATTAGGCTTTTATTATATAGGATAGCCAAGATTTAGAAGCAGTCCAAGTGTCCGTCCATTAATGAGTGGGTAGAAAAGCTGTGGTACATTTACACAATGAAATAGTACTCAGCCGTAAAAAGGAGGAAATCTTACCCTTTGTGACAGCATGGATGGACCTGGAGAGCATTATGCTAAGTGAAATAAGCCAGTCAGACAGACAGGTACCATGTGATTTCACTCATGTGGAACCTAATGAACAAAATAAACTGACAAGTGATCACACCAGCTTATTGGCTGTTTCATTGGAGGGACTGATTCTTGGAGCACCCACCACTGCCATTTTCTGTGATGTCACTATTTACATTTTTTTTTAACTTTTAGTTTTGACATTATTATAGATCCACAGGAAGCTTCAAAGATGCCATAGGAATGCCTCATGCACCTTTCACCCTCTTCCCCCTAATAGCATCTTATATAATTATAGTATAATATCAAAACCAGGAATTTAACACCTACAGCTCAGTGACTTTTAAAAGATCACTTCAAACCAGGCTTAGCAGTATGCATTTTCCCAGATCAGAGGTAAAAAGATCCTAAAAGCTTTGAGAGGAAAAAAGCCCCAGGCGGAGATCAAGCACCAGAGTGTAAAACAATAAAGCAATGCCTATACCCTTCCAGTGAAAACATTTTTTATCTGGAATCATAAGCAAAGGGTGAGAACAGAAGAGACATTTTCAGATGTGCTAAGTCCTCGGTGCAACCACAAGATGTCCTTCCCTTTGGGAACTGGACAGGGAAGAGGCAGGGAATCCAGGAGGCACGGGCCCTGGACAGGAGGCACCAAGGAAGGGCGGGGAGTGAAGACAGCCCTGCGGCTGCTGGGCCCCGGGAGAGCGAGGCCAGGCCCCGGGGCGGCAGCGCCAGGGAACCGGGAGAGGGATCGCCTTTGGGCAGCGATGTGGCGGGGTATTGCAGAGTGTAAAGGGCTCAGCCAGGCTTTTAAGAAATAAATAGATGAAGAGAATGAGATTAGTTTACCTTCCAGAGAAAAAACTTAGGTAAGAAAACATAATTCTGGTATTTACATTTGGCTTGGTAAAAAAAAAAAAAAAATGTATTTTCAAAATGTTGGTATTTCTGAATGTGCTTTTAAACCATAAATTAAAACACAGCTGTATTGGGGAAGTGGGGGAGGGAGAGAAGCTGTAAGAGAGAGAAAATAATAATCCACCACCACGGGAAGTCAACAGGCTGCATCTAAAATTACTGAATCCCCCCCCCCCAAAAAAAGCAGAATAGGCCTATATATTTAGAAATCTAGCAGTAAATGGCAGAAACAGCCAACAGTTCAGAGTCCTCTCAGAAGGGGCAAACCTTGCCGTGCAGAAGGGGTATGAGTGTTGGTTTTTGTCATAAAAACTCTATTTTGCCTTAAGCTATATGCAAAAAGCAGTCTAATAAAATAACAATAATTTAATGTTGGATTGGAAGTACTATTATCAAACAAAAAGCATTACCTAATAAAACACAGTTCTGCCCATCCTTCATGGAGAAGGCCTTTCTAAAGGTTTTATAATTTGAAAGATATTGAAAGAGACTGCACATTTTACTTCTGAAAATGGGAAAATGAAAACTCCCAATGTGGGAAGCGTCGTCAAGCTGAAGGACAGCGGTGGCTCTCCCTGAGGCAGGTCTGAACGGGGAGCAGGGACCCGGGCCTTCAGCACGGGGGTCGCTGGTCTCAGGACGGCAGGACAGACCAGGCGCAGCCGAGGACAGAGCTCTGCTCTCCTCCCCAACCTGCCTCTGACGGGAGGGCTCACGTACTGTCGGGTGGACGGCCCCGCTCTGCGCGTGCAGATCTGTGCAGCCATGAGGGGAGGAGGAGGGTGCATGGCAACACCATCTGAAGTGGCAGATGGCAACCAGACATGTGTGAAGGGATGGTGGTGGAGACTGTTATTTAAGAGGCTCGGGAGGGAAACGGGCACTGATCTGAGAAGAGAAAAGCTATTTAGTGCTTTCCCAAGACCTGGCAAGGAGGAGCCGGGAGCCGTTGCTAAGGAGAAAACAGACAAAGGCACAAGGACCGTCTGACTCAGCGCTGGCAGGGGCGGCGGGGCCGGCTCCCAGGACCGTGCTCGGCAATCGGGATGACAAAGCAGCCCCTGTCCTCCTCCTGTGAGAGGTCTTCCTCCTTCGGGTCTCACCCTCCTTCTGCACCGGCCGAGCTTCCTGTCCTGGGGTCGCCTCGGAGGAGCCTGGCGGAGGCTGTGAGCAGGCGGGAGGCGGAGGCCAGCAGAGTCCACACCTCTCCCACACTGGGCCCTTGGATCGTAGTCAGGACTCACTTCTTTCTTTCTTCCTTTCTTTCCTCTTTGATTTTTTGGGCATCTGATTAAAGATGGAGGCAGTTTAGCTCCAGCGTATGAGGAAACTGAATGTGGCAGAGCCCACAACTCAAACTGACACCATCCACACACCACGCTGCCCACACACACTGAGCTCACCCAGCGGTCACCTCACCCATGGCAGAAAAGAGGATCAGCCGAAGACCATGACCTTGGGCTCAAGGTAAAGGTGTATGGCAAACCTAAACCTCAGTGACTTAAGAAAAACCAGCAAGAAGTTCTTAAAGAGGCCTGAGCCCTGAGGCTGTGGTTTGCCGACTGAGGCACCAAAAGTACCCCCAGAGGCTGTAGACAGACCGACCGCGGGCAGCGGGTCCCAGAGCAGCACAGCGGAGAGTCCGCAGGGTGAGGAGTTTCAAGGCAGGAGGGTAAGGACCCCATAAACGGAAGGCAGCAGGAAACTTCGACTTTCTTATGAGATGGCAAGATCACTGCTGACCACTGAGAGTCAAATCCGTGTTGACAATCCGGCCAGTGCTGACCTAGGAAGCCACGGGTGTGTGGGCGGCTCACCGAGACGCTTTTGCCACTAACAGGACACGGCCAGCAGCAAGTGCACGGCCGGGGCTGGCGGGCGGGCGGGGAGTGAGGAGGTGGCCCCCTTTCTGCTCTCAGCATGGGCTCCAGGGCCCGGGGAGTCTTTATAAGAACACGTGCAGCCGAGACTGGTTTAGCTCAATGGATAGAGCGTCGGCTTGGGGACTGACGGGACCCGGGTTCGATTCCGGTCAAGGGCATGTACCTTGGTTGCGGGCATATCCCCAGTAGGGGGTGTGCAGGAGGCAACTGATCGATGACTCTCTCTCATAGTGTTTCTAACTCTCTATCTCTCTCCCTTCCTCTCTGTATAAAATCAATAAAATATATTAAAAAAAAAAAAAAAAGAACACGTGCAGATAGTCAGATCCCACTCCGTTGAAACAACCCTCCCATACCTCGGCCTTTACCACGGTCTGGATCTGCTACTGAAAACGCCCTGTGCTCTGCACAGGCTGTAGGCAGGGGTCCTCAAACTTTTTAAAGTGGGGGCCAGATCACGGTCCCTCAGAGAGCTGGAGGGCCAGACTATATGAACTACTAATTCCTACTGTAACACCTCGGCTGCGCTCACTGCCCAAAAAACCTGGCGGGCCGGATCAGACTCCTCTGCGGGCCGCATGTGGCCCGCGGGCCGTAGTTTGAAGACGCCTGCTAGGGGATGTAAGCAAGCACTTCATAGAGGCAAGGTGACAAGCACTCAGGCTTCCCTGGAAAACAAATCCTGCCACGAAACAAGGAGATGGACGAGGACGAGGACAGACCCAGGGATTGTTTCCCACTACGGAGGACGCTGTGGAGACTCGCACCAGCTCCAGCTCACAGGCGCCTCCGCTCGCACACCATGCACGCGGACGGCAAGCGGCTGGGTCCTCAGCCAGCTTAGGGAGGAGGGAGGTAGTTACCACTGTCGATCCTGAGGTGCAGGCGCAGGCCCCGTTAGCTCACAGCGCTTTCAGGATTTTCAATTATCCACTCAATAGCAGCCCACCCCTGGAGCAACACAGAAGGGTTTCAACAGGGTGTGAGAGCTCTGCCCCTGCAGCGGCAGCTGCAAGCCTGGAATTAAACGCCGGTTTTAAAGGTACAACAGTAACAATTTCCCTGCAAGCAGGCAGTGTCTCAAGTTCAAAATTAAAGGGTCTGCATTCTGCCTAAAACTCCCGCCCCAGGTTGGCTACACGGACACTGCTCCCCCCATCCGCAGGCCGCCCCCTGAGTGCGGGCCGAGGGGAAGGGCAGCCCCCTCCCGGCTCCAGGTGTCGTCCCTGAGCTCTGGCTCCGAAGCCCGGGGGACCTGACTCCAGCTGCCCGCTCCTGTGCCCACCCTCAGCCTCCCAGCCCTCCCAGGCACCTCCCCACCTGACCAGGGGTTCTGTCAAACCGTAACTGCAACTGGAGGGAGGACTGATTCTCTACCAGGCCTTCCACACCGACCCCTACGGTAAGGGAGTAAAAGAATTGTGTCTGGCTGCACTGAGTTTACCCCGGTTTACACCTCATAAAAGGTCTGAGGTGGCCTTGGCCTCGCCCAGGATTGAGTTCCTCCTGTGTTTTTTCACAAACCCGAGGGTGCCTGCCCATAGCCAGACCCCGGACTCAGGGGTAAGGCTGCCCCCTCTCCCCCCTCCCTGCCCCCTACCGCGGAGGGCTCGCACTGCGGACACAGTGTGTGCGGCGTTGGGCCCTGTGGTTCCATCTTCCCTGAACGAGCTAAGCGACGGCATACGTTTCTCAGGTCTGGATTTCTCTAAACAGTGGGGCAGACTGGCTCTTCTAGACTAAATGCGAGCAAAAGCGGTTTTCTGCTGGGATCTGACTTAAGCGCGGTAGGAAGGGAGGGACAGCTCGGGCAGCAGCTAACAGATGACCAACAGGAGGCATCGCTTCTGACTGAGACACAGGGAGATGGGGGGAGAGCCAGGGTGGGAGCAGAGGGAGGACTCCGGGGAAGGTGGGAGCCTGTGAAGGAAGCTCGGGCGAAAAGCCCAGGCCCTGCCCTCGTGGGCGGCAGGCATCACCTTGAACCTGCACACGTCCAAGCTCTCTCCCGCTGCAGAGGAAGGCAGCCTGGGCCCCGGGAGCATCCCTGAGGCTGAGCCTCCGCCCAGGCACCCAGCAGGACGGTCTCCGGGTGCCTCCTTCCTCCTCTCACCTCCACCAAGCTCCCTCCCGGGCTGCCAGAGGCCAGCTGCCTCCAGGGAAAGCCTGCAGATGGAGAAGTGGGGCCAAAGCTACCCAACACCTATTCAATAGGAAACCGGTGAAAACCCCCAATACCCTGCCTGATGATGTAAACACTCAGCATTTTGACGTGTGGAGTCTGTTTAATAGCTGAGCCGATTATTTCAGCTCTTGGCCTTGGCTGGCTTTACCCCGCATGTTTCCTTTGGATGGCACGCCTTCCGGTTTTGAATGTAAATGTGGAGCATGATGCAGCCGTACGAGCTAAACTAGACAGCGGGCTCAGCACGCATGAACACGGGCCCTCGCGTTCACACCCGCCTCCCCTGGCCCCTAACAGCCGGAGCACACCCAGGGCGGACGGAGAGCCGTACCTTCTTTGCGTTGGATGATATTGTGTTGGCCATTAAGCCTTCCAGGTAGCTCCCCAGGCTGATCCCCTTCACGGTGATGATGGCTTCCTGGGTGAGCACCGTCCTACAGGGGAGCAAGAAGCACAAGGCTGAGCTGCCCTGGGGGAGGGAGGCTCCCCCCGCCCCGACCTCGGAGTTCCCCGTGTGGAGCCGGGGCGACACCACGTACATGTCAGGGTTCTTCGGATGGGGGGTGTACACCAGCCTCTCGTTCACCGACACCAAGTTTGTGAGCGTGATCTTAAAGAAAAGGAACAATGGCTTTAGGTTCTGCTTCTCTTCCATTTCTTCCCAAACCAGCAGCCCATACTCTTCCATCCCCAACACAGAACGGAAGAAACGTTTTGGCCCAGAAGGTGCCACCATATTAGGTCCCAGGGAAACCGATCCTGGCGGCTGTCACCGACCTCTCTCCACCCACATCCAGGGACGGGGAGCCCCCGCTTTTTTGAAAGTTTGCATATGCTACTTTGCTTTTAGGAAAGACCTACATTAGTCCCTGTTTTTGCTACAGTAACTGATAGAAACTTGAAGAAGGTCTTTGCTTTTATGAAAAAGGGTGACAAGCAAAAGCAGTGTTCCGGAGCCATGCTCAGCATCTCAGCGGCAAGCCCCGGCGGAGCTGCGAACTGTTCGTGAGCATCTGTTTATTTCGTGCATCGTTGCCAGGGTGTGTCTTCATGAAACTGCTTCTTCACTCGACACCATTTCGGCTCACCTAAGGTTTTAGAGGAACACTGGACTTTTGGATAGTGAGAGAACTTGTATTTCCAAACTTCCAAACCCTCAGCAAAAAAAGGACAACATATTCCTGTGTTAGCATGCAGGTAAACAGCGGGAAGCTCCTCGCCCACCAGGGGCGGGCTCTGGCTTTGGGACAGTGTCCTGGGGTTTCACAGGGCAGCATGCTAGGTCTGCACAGACTGTGAGAGCAAGGTATAGAGATATCTCCTCAGTGCTGTAAACCAACTAACCCTCCCCCCCCCCCCCCCCGCATGTACATTTTTAATATTTTCTATTAAGAACTATTTGAAAACTGGAGCTGTAGAACAGAATTTTATATAATATTAGAAATGTCCTGCCTAGCCAGTGTGGCTTAGTGGTTGATGCTCAACCTATGAACCAGGAGGTCACGGTTCAATTCCCAGTTAGGCACATGCCTGCATTGCGGGCTCAATCCCCAGAGTGGGGCAGGAGGTAGCCGATCAGTGATTCTCTCATCATTGATGTTTCTCTCTCTCCCTCTCCCTTCCTCTCTGAAATCAATAAAAAAATTTTTTTAAATATATATATTAGAAATGCTCTATCTCTGAGCTGTTCATTGTCGAAGTCACTAAACATGCATGGCCAGTGAACACTTGGAATGTGGTTAGTGTGCAGGGGAACTGAATTTTTAATTTTACTTAATCCTAATTAATTGAAACGGAAATAGCCACATGTGGCTGCCATATTGGCCAATGGAATTTCGTCTTTGTTTGACCCAATATACTCTCTTACCAAAGATCCAATTCCAATATAAGATCTTTTTTTTTAAGTTCAAGTGGTCCAAGGTAATGTAATCTTCCAGCAATGATAAACTTAAAGCACTTATACATTGCTCATGTAATAATCTTTTATGGTGCTCCCCAGCCTGGCCTCCGTTCTGGCAGAGTGGTTAGCAGGGAAATCTCCTTCCTGCTATTGAGTACAGAGTAGTCAAAAGCTCATTAGTTACAGTGAATACAGTGTATGAAAATATCAACATTAACAATGAAACTCCGATTAGCTATTATCTTTTTATGTGCAATATTTTTATGCCTGGCACTGTTCTTTATAAACCTTATTTCCCTTCATTAATCCTCATAACAATACTGTGAAGTTTGTTCTTTTTTCTTTTCAAGGCAAGGCATGTGGGACCCAGAAAAGGTTAGTCAGGAACATACGCAGTCCTACAACCATTCCGTGATAATTTCAGGACACGGGTTCACAACTATCCTGCGCCACACCCTATTTCCTTCCCACTGGGCCTCACCGTAGCATGAACACTCCTTCTTTACTGGAAACTAAACTTTCGTGAAGGACGGAGTGGAATTTCCAAGTGGAGGAGAGAAAACGGAATATGTGAACTGTCAGCGGGCCAATGGCTCCCTGTGACTTCACAAGCGGGGCTGCCTGGGACGAGGGGAAGGTCAGAGATGGTATGCCCAACACTGCATGTGGTTCAGGACCCAACCTTCCAGCACACAGAGACACATCCACAGTGAGCTTTCATAAAGTACACCATGTGCCGAGCCGATTCATCCTCCCCAACATGTTTTTGAATATGTATTAAGCCAAAGTACAGTTTTTTAATTGAGGGAAGAGAGAGGGAGTGAAGGAGGAAAGTTGACTTTAAAATTTCTGCTAAGTCCAAAGAAAAATGAAACTACTGCTAAAAATCACCCTTGCCAATGGAAGTCAGGATAGAGCTGTGGTTGGCAAACGGCAGCTCGAGAGCCACATGCGGCTCTTTGGCCCCTTGAATGTGGCTCTTCCACAAAATACCACAGCCTGGGCGAGTCTATTTTGAAGAAGTGGCATTAGAAGAAGTTTAAGTTTTAAAAATTTGACTCTCAGAAGAAATTTCAATTGTTGTACTATTGATATTTGGCTCTAATAATGTCCTACTATAAGAAACAATAAGAAACAAGCGATCACCTATAAGAAACAAGCAATCGCTCAGACCGAAGGTGGGCTGGACATAAAGGTAAAGGAAGCCGTTACGCACCATCACCAAGCCATACCAAGCACCTCTCTCTAGGCTATTGCTTACATTGGTGGAACAAAGCTCCATCTTCTTTTCCACTGGGTCCACCACAGAATGTTCTTTAATGTATGTTAAAGTCCTGCTGGTCCCCAAAATCTAAAAGACAAAGCAAAACCAGCATAATGGAAAGTTACAATGTGATTGTGTAGCATCAAACACAAAACACCGCGTCATTTACTCATTTGTACGCGGGTAGGGGTGCGCCATGAACCTGCGCGGTACCCTCAGGTTTCTGCTCCAGCAGGTGGGAGAGACGCTGGACAAATGAATGATTCCAAGTGGACTTGAGTGTCTGAGCGTAATGAATGCTTTGATGAAAAAGAAAACGGGGGTGGGGGGCAGGAGTGCAGAGAAGGCCCCTCTGCCGGCGGCAGAGCCTGGGAGGGAGGGAGGGTGCCACGCAGAGCTCTGGGGTGGGCAAGGGCCCAGCATGTGAGGAGGTGGTGGGCGGGCAGGCGTCTCTGAGCCAAGGAGAAGCTGGAGCAGACCCATCCCTCATGTCCCCAGAGGAAACCGCCCTGCCGGCACCTTGCTCTTGTACCTCCAGCCTCGAAAACAGAGGAAACAAATGTCTGTGGTTTAAGCCCCCAAACCTGTGGTGTTTATTTCAGCAGCCCAAGCGAGGCGGGAGGGGATTCTGTGCCGGCGGGGGCGGTGAGGGGGGGTGTCGGGCCCACGGAGACGGACAGTATCGTGACGTCTGCAGGGGAACAGACCATCTCTTGGGCTGCCTAGACATGCCGAGTGGGCGCTCTGAGGGAAGGGAGTCATTTCCTGCAGATGGTGCCCGCTGGGGCGGAGGGGGTGCAGCCGGGGGTGCAGCCGGGGGATGCAGGTGTAGTGGGAGCACACCGGTGCCGGCGGGCGGTGCAGGGGCAGGGCCGGGCAGGGGCAGCGGGGCAGGCGGCTGTGGGCTCACCGCTCTCACGAGGGCAGGCAGCCCCCACTCGGTGCTGAGCAGGCGGTGGCTGTGGAGCCGGCCGCGGCGGTCCACGCTGCGCTCCAGCACGTCCACTCCCACGACGCAGGGGTTCATCGGGTTCGGGTACTTCCGCATGGCAGCCTTGATGACCGTGTCCCATGGGTGGCTGGAGGGAAAGACAATCTTGGCATAAGCAAGCAAGCCTTTTGCAGCGGGTACCAGAGCGGCGCTGGGAGCCAGAGGTGCAGTGTGCCAGAGTGAAACGAATCGAGTTTTTCCTTTTGGTTCTAATTAAAGGCATATCTAACTAATGCATATCAGGAGTCCAGCTCCCACCTAAATCCTGGGTCCTGGGATCCTGCTGAGCCAACCAAAGGCAATCAGAAGGCTCTGCCACCAGCTGAGCCAGGAACCTGGGGCACGAACAGGAACAGGAATAGGAACAGGAACAGGTACAAGAACAGGAACAGGAACAACAACAACAGGAACAGGAACAGGAACAAGAACAGGAACAGGAACAACAACAACAGGAACAGGAACAGGAACAAGAACAGGAACAGGAACAACAGGAACAACAACAACAACAACAACAACTCAGGAGCCTGGCAGCTGCGCGCATGCTCATCTCACCAGGTGGGCATCCCCAGTCCAGAGGCCTCGCAGACCAGACGCCTCCTCACCACTGGGGCCTTGGCCCAGGCACTTTCCTTCCCTGTGGCTCCACACTTTTCCTGTTCCCACCCTCCCTCCAGTCCTCAGAGAGGTAAAAGCGTTAGCTTAGGGCTTCTGCACAGGGAGACAACTCTCCCCATCCCTTGCCTGCCACCTGCCCTCCCCTCTGTGCCATGGGGTGACAAGCACGAGGGAGCTTGCCTGCACTGCTGCAGTGACTAAAGGCTTGGCTCACGGTGGCCACTGTGGAGTGGGAACCCATCCCCAGGGCGCTCGGCCTCTGTGCCCCACGCAGGGCGGCTGAACTGAAAGCAGAGCTGGTGCCAGGGAGGTGGGAGGCCTCATTCCCTACCCACACTGGGAAGCGGGAAGGCATAACCAAGGCCCACTCTATGCACAACGAGGGTGTAGAGACAGGGGCTGGGATGGAATGACAGGACGTCTGGGATTTCCTATAACAAATTGGAGGAAAGAACAGTGGGGAACACGTGAAACCAGACTGACTGCGAGAGGGGAGCTGTCGACCTGGAAGGTGGTCCTGGGCCTCATCATTCTAGTCTTCCCTTTTCATACTTCTGAAATTTCCAGAACAGCCATTTAAAAAAAAAAAAGGACAAGGGCAGCCCAAACAAGGCTATTCATTAACTTGAATATTTCTTGCCATTCTCGTCTGGCCTGCATGGTTTCTGTTGAGAAATCAGCTGACAATCGTATGGGTGCTCCTTTATAGGTAACTACCTGCTTTGCTCTTGCTGCTTTTAATATTCTCTTTGTCTTTTGCTCTTGGAATTTTAATTATGATGTGTCTTGGTGTGGTCTTCTTTGGATTCCTTTTGTTTGGAGTTCTGTGTGCTTCCTGGACTTGTAAGTCTAATTCTTTCACCAGGTGGGGAAAGTTTTCTGTCACGTGCACCCTACTTGAAGCAACTCTGGGCCCACATCTGAGCACGGCCCACATCACACACCCAGCGGTTCCCACTCTCTTTCAGGCGGTCTGCAAGGCCAACACGGCTTCATGATGCTGCTAAGACATGGTTCGTCTTTTTTTTTTTTTTTTTTTTAATAAATCTTTATTGTTCATATTATTACAAAAGTTCATTTTTCCCCCTCCACCAGGTTCCCACCCCACCCTCTGCCCTTTCCCCACCCCCCCATTGTCCTCATCCATAGGTGCGCAGTTTATGTTCAGTCTCTTCCTGTACCCCCCTCTCCCCCTTTCCCCAAGAATCGTCAGTCCACTCCCCTTCTATACCTCTGATTCTATTATATTCACCAGTTAATATTGTTCATAAGATTTTTTTTTAATTCCCTTGGTTTTTAGATTTACCTGTTGATAGTTACATATTTGTTGTTCATAGTTTTTATCTTTATTTACTTTCTCTTCTAAAAGAACCCCTTTCAGCAATTCATATAATTCTGGTTTGTGGTGATGAATTCCTTTAGCTTTTTTTTTTATTAGTGAAGCTCTTTATCTGGCCTTCGATTCTGAGTGATAGCTTTGCTGGGTAGATTATTTTTGGCTGTAGGTTCTTGCTATTCATTAACTTGAATATTTCTTGCCATTCTCGTCTGGCCTGCATGGTTTCTGTTGAGAAATCAGCTGACAATCGTATGGGTGCTCCTTTATAGGTAACTACCTGCTTTGCTCTTGCTGCTTTTAATATTCTCTTTGTCTTTTGCTCTTGGAATTTTAATTATGATGTGTCTTGGTGTGGTCTTCTTTGGGTTCCTTTTGTTTGGAGTTCTGTGTGCTTCCTGGACTTGTAAGTCTAATTCTTTCACCGGGTGGGGAAAGTTTTCTGTCACTATTTCTTTCAGTATGTTTTCGATATCTTGCTCTCTCTCATCTTCTGGGACCCCCATAATTCTGATGTTGGTTCGCTTGAAGTTTTCCCAGAGGTTTCTTAAATCATCTTCAACTTTCTGGATTCTCTTGACTTCTTGCTTCTGTGGAGGAGTATCTTCTGGCTCTTTATGTTCCAAATCTTTGACTTGATTCTTGCGATCTTCCATTTTGTTTTTAGGACTCTGTATAATATTTTTTAATTCAGACAATGTATTCTTTATTTCTTATTGATCCCTTATTAGTTCTTGTTGATCCCTTATTAGTTCTTGTTGATCCCTTATTAGTTCTTGTTGATCCCTTATTAGTTCTTGTTGATCCCTTATTAGTTCTTGTTGATCCCTTTTCATCTCCTCATAGGTCTTATCGACCTTTTCTAGGAAATTCTTAAAAAACCTTATAAGCGTGGTTTTGAACTCTATATCCAGTCTCTTCTTTTCCTCCATTTCTTTTGTTTGTGATCTAATTCCTTGTCTTGGGATTTTCACAGCTTCCCTGAGTTGGTAGGGTGGCTTTGTGTGCTAAGGTGTCCTATATGGTTCAGTGAGTCAGCCTCCCAGTTACCTGAGGTGGGCAGTCTTGGTGTGGCCCTTTGTGGGATGGGTGGGCAGTCTTGTTGTTAAGCCTTGCTTGTTGTTGGTATCACTGGGAACCGTTGATCTCCAAGCCAATTGGCTATGAGGATCAGAAGTGTCTCAGCTAGGAGGGTTTCTGTATTCTGCTTGGATGGGCGGAGTCTCGGGGTGGCACAGACAAGCTTTGTTGAATCCCGCACAATTAGTTGTAGGCGCGCACACCTGTTTGGTATAGGCGCAGACAAGCTTTAGATTCCTGTCTGCCCCTCCCTAGGAGAGTCCTATTGGCAGCGAACGAGGAAGCTAGCCACTGGAAGGGCCTCTATGCTCTGCTTGGATGGGGCGTAGTCTCGGGTGGTGCAGACAAGCTTTATTCAGCCCCTCCCTATGAGGGCCTGGTTTCTGAGTCCCGCAGTAATGGCCGCTGGCTTCACACACCTCCAAGAGATCTCTGCCCACTGCCTGACAGACTGGCCTCTGTCAGCGCAATAGGGTGGTTTTGTTTTCCTCCCGAACAAGAAAGCCAGCTGCGCATTAGCTGTCTGCCCTCTCCGCGCGCGCAGAGAGTAAGCCGGTAGCGAACTCCACCCGCCCTCTCCACGCTCCGCAAGCCAGCAGCGAACTCTGCGCCGCTTTTTCGCACGCACAGTTTTCCGTACCTTCACAGTTCCTGAGGTTCAGCGTGCCTTCTCTCTCCTTCCCAGATGGTAGAGCCTCCCTTTAGCCAGCCGTCCGGCGCTTCAGGGTGATGTTTCCCCCGTTTTTCAGTTCTAAATTCAAACTTGTTGTGGTAGGCTGCATTCGGGTGTCTGCCCTATGCCCCCATCTTGGTTGTCTCACATGGTTCGTCTTTTTCACTCAATGGACATTTACTGTCTCAGGAGGCCGGGAAGTGCTGGGCAGCTGGGGGTGGTGGGCCCATCACTTCTACTAGCTTTGGTTATCTGGCAGACATTTTCTCAAAAACCAATTAAATGAGCCCATCACTTCAAGGAAAACAACTGATAGTATTTGTTGCCAAAGATAAAAGTTGGGTTTTGAGTGAAAATTTCAAAAACTTGTATTCACTCCCATGGCGCCCCATTTTGTAACCGGGGAAACCCATATGCTCCCAATGAGCAGTGCCAGATGCCACAAAATCACACAACAGTGAGAGGCTCATTTAAAATGTTGGACAGGCCAATTATTCTGGTCATCATGGTTTCAGATTTTACATTAGTTTTGTTGTAGTAGCAAAAATAGCCACAATTAGCCGAAACCGGTTTGGCTCAGTGGTAGAGCATCGGTCTGCGGACTGAAAGGTCCCAGGTTCGATTCCGGTCAAGGGCGGTCAAGGGCATGTACATTGGTTGCGGGCACATCCCCGGTAGGGGGTGTGCAGGAGGCAGCTGGTTGATGTTTCTCTCTCATTGACGTTTCTAGCTCTCTTTCCCTCTCCCTCCCTCCTCTCTGTAAAATATCAATAAAATATATATATTTTTAAAAAATAGCCACAATTACTTTAAAAGACTATTAAAATACTCCTACCTTTTCCAGTGTTTTATTCACACACTGTGTGAGGCTGGGTTTTACACACATGCTTCAAACAAAACAAGACTCTAAACACTGAATGCAGAAGCAAGATATGAATATCAAGCCACCTTCTATTTAATAGAATCTATCAAGTCAGACACTATAGAAATTTGCATAAAAATAGTATCACTTTTCTTACTAATTTGGGGGGCATTTTGGAAAATACAGGGTTTTTAAATAAAAATGTTATGTTCATGTGATGGGTTTATGGTTCATTTTAATTCATAAATATTATTTGTCAGTTTTAATTCCTAATATGGTAAATACGGATAACTATAATTCACATAAACAAAAACTGTTTGGGTTTCCCAATATTTTCTTAGGTAATAAAGAAGTCATGAGGCTGAAGGGTTTGAGAATTGCTGGCCTAAGTGGGTCCCTGATTAAGTGGATCAAAAATATATACACAGCTGGTCACTGCAGTATGATTTTTTGCTACGAAGGGGGGAAATGATGTTCTTTCAATAAGAGAAAGAATAAACTGCAACACATTCATACAATGGAATATTATATAGCTATGATACATATACGTGTGTGTATACATACACAAGACACATAGATCTCCAAACCATACTGTTGAGAGGAAAGGGAAATTTTTAAAAGATCTATATATCTGATGTCACTGATTTCTATTTTAAAACAATAAACACATGCCCACATAGATATAGTCAAATGGAATATATATATATATATACACACACACACACACACACACACACATATCTTCAGAGGGATACCCCCAAATTCATAATTCTGTCTGCCTGTGGAGAGAGAGGGTGGGGGTACAACACTGGGAGTGTGTGCTTCAACTCTTATCTGTAATGCTCAATTGCTTATTAGAAAAAAAAGTGGGGGGAGGGGCATTCTTTTCCCTGCTCCTGGCTAGAAAGCAAGTTTGTTTTAGGACATCATGTCCTTCAGAGCCCTTAATTCCCTGAGATGAACATTACCTACTAGAGACCTTTCCTGGTAGCTGTTAGAATTCAGAGTATATGGCCTTGAATCTCTGCCAGAAATCCACTTGTGCTGGCTCTGCACCTGGAGGTTTTATAGGTCTACCTGAAACCCAAGGCCATGCTGTGAGGATGAAGTTTATAAGCCTACTAACTTTCAGATGCCCCTTTTCATATTTTTATATGTCAGTCCTACCTTTTTTCATTACCATTTAGACAATCTTAAACCCTGTGTAGGTAACACGCACTAAATTCAGATGCCTTTCTCCACGGGTCTCCGTTTCCGTAGGCATGTTTAGACTGCTCTCTGCTGGGCCTGCTCTCCAGGCCCTGGGGTTTCTATGCCATGTGGACTAAGAAAGAAACCTGGATATGATCAAAAGGTTGTGTGCCTAAATATATTTCTTGCCTTGCCAGAGCAAATTTATTAATTTTCTTGGTCAAATATGTATCTGACAGTACAACCAATATATAAAGGAAACACGTATAAAAAGGAATCTATAACCCTCAAAGAAAGAAATTAATTGGTGATTTCTGACGGACTAAGCAAGGGGGAGAGCTCCACAGTCAGCCCAGCCAGAAAGCTGGGCTCCCCATTTTGTGCTACCCGGCAGCCGCAGGGGCCTACCCCGCACTGTCCTTGGCCAGCCCCACTCCACCTTCGTCAGTTTTCATCACAGCCCTTTGCTTTTAACTTCGAAAATCAATGGCAGGGGAGCAGTGCCAGTCCACAGCGGCTTGGTGTTGGCCAAGTTCTTTGGCGGGGAGCCACCCTCCTTTTGAAATGGCATCTAATCTCAGCAAGACCCCTCAGCTCCTCACTGAGTACCTACTATCTGGCAGGCACTGGCAGGGTGCCAGGAATACAAATGGAACGAAGTACTGATACAGGATACCACACAAATGAACCTCAATGAAATTATGCTAAGTGAGCCCTGGCCGGTTTGGCTCAGTAGATAGAGCCTTAGCTCTCGGACTGAAAGGTCCTGGGTTTGATTCTGGTCAAGGGCATGTACCTTGGTTGTGGGCACATCCCCAGTGGGAGGTGTGCGGGAGGCAGCTGATTGATGTTTCTCTCTGACTGATGTTTCTCTATCCCTCTTCCTTCCCCTCTGTGAAAAATCAAAAAAAAAAAATAAAATATATATATATATATATATATATATATATATATATATATTTTTTTTTTTTTTTAATTATGCTAAGTGAAAGAAGACAGACACAAGGGACCACATGCTGTGTGATTACATTTATATGAAATGTCCAGAGAAGGCAAATCTATAGAAACAGAAAGGCTGGCAATGGGAGCGAAGACTGACTGCAGATGGGCACAAGGGGACTTTGTGGGGTGATGAAATGTTCTAAAACTGGCCTGTGGTGGCGGTTGTACAGCTCTAAACTTACTAAAAGCTATTGAATTGACACTTCAAATCAGTGAATTTTATCAGTAGTGACTTTTCACAGTTGATAACTCACTTCTGCTTGTCAGTCAACATTTCATGAACTTCCAGGGCAGTCCTTGTCAACTCTTCCATGACAAAACAGCCCCCCTGCCCAGGCACCTACAGGATGCAATGGCTCCATGTCTCCCCTCTGCATCTAGCCCTGCCAGTTATGTCCCAGTCTTGGGAGCACTTAGAATAAAAAATCAACACTAAGATTGGATCTCATCAAGTCTAAGGATTTCATTAAAAATAATTTGAGGTTCTAACCTGATAAATTTTTAATTATAATTTTACATTTAAAACGCCAAAGGATGACAATTCCATTCCATGAAGTTAAAATAATTTTTTTTTTAATTTTTCTTTTTAAATTATAGTTTTTCTAAGTGGAGTTGGGGATATTTAAAAATCTTTATTCCTTTAAGAGATATTAAAGAATGACTTCAGAGGGTCAAGGGTCACAGATAAATGACTCAGACGAAGGTACCACCTAGGTCACGAAGGCACCTTTAAATAGCTCCCAGCTCCCCAGGCTAGCTTGGAGGCCTCCCATGCCCACAAGTGCACCCCGTGCCACAGCCCCCACTGCCTCCTCCGCATCTGCCTCCTCCCGAGCTCCTGGGCAGCCGTGGGCCCTTCGTTTATACAACATGCTTCATGTTCGTGATCTGCTGACCGCATAGTGAGGCCTCTGCTCCCCCAGGCCCGCACGCCCCCAGCCCCAGAGGAGAACGGGGTGCGGGCCAGGTCAGGCCTGGGAGGGTGGGGGTGGGGGGCTGAGTACTGTCACCTTGACGGTCCCCTCCGGCCGCGGCCGCCCCGCTGGGGGCGCGCACCCAGGAGGGCGCCCCGGCCTCACAGGACCAGCTGAGATGCACCCCGCGGCTCCGTCCTCCTCCGGCCGCGGAGGGAAAGGCCGACCCCCTCCCCGGCGCTTCAGGAATCCCACCACGGCCTCCGCCGGCCGGGCGGCGACTCCATCCAAGAGCGGACGGCGCCCCTCGCAGGGACAAAGCCTGAGCCGCTTTCCGGGAAGCCGAGGCCGCGGAGGGAACGGTCCACGCCAGGCTGGGGAGGCTCTGCGAGGGCCGGGTCTGGGGTCCGGCCTTCCTCGGCCTCCCGCAGCGGCGCGGGGGCAGTGCCGGCGCCGGCCCGGAGCCCGCGGCGGCCCGCCGCCCGACCTCACCCGAACACGTGCTCCGAGCTCCAGATCTTCATCGCCGCCCGGCACCCGCCGCCGCGCGCGGGGTCCCGGTTCCGGACCCGGAGCTGCCGGCGGCTCCGGTCTCAGTGCTGCGGGGGCGAGGCCTGGGCGGGCCGGGACGCCGCGGGGCGTGGCCTGGATGCAGTGGGGCGTGGCCTGGGCGGGACGGGGGCGCCGAGGGGAGTGGCCTGATACAGAAGGGGCGTGGTCAGGGCGGGGCGCTCTCGGGAGCCGCCAGCTTGGGTGTCAGGTGACTGTGCAAGCCGCAGCGGCTAAAAATAGGAATGCGGGACGCCGCTGTAGAGGCCGATTGGGGAACTGCTCCTCCGTGCTTGTTCTGGAAGCATCTTCCAGAGAAAGAGAGTGGAATATGCAGAAGCCCAGAAGCATGAGGAGGTACAGTGCTCTTGGGGGGCTGCGAGTCACCTGTGAGGCTGGATTGTGGGGGTCCCAGAAAGAAGTGGCAGGAGTTGAAGCTAGAAAGTTAGGAGCCATGCTGAAGCCGGTTTGGCTCAGTGGGTAGAGCGTCGGCCTGTGGACTCAAGGGTCCCAGGTTCAATTCCCAGGTAAAGTGCATGTACATTGCTTGCGGGCACATCCCCTGTAGGGGGTGTGCAGGAGGCAACTGGTCGATGTTTCTAACTCTCTATCCCTCTCCCTTCCTCTCTGCAAAAAAAAAAAAAAAAAAAGCAATAAAAGTATATATATATATATTTTTTTTTTAATATATATTATTGATTTTTTTACAGAGAGGAAGGGAGAGCAATGGAAAATTAGAAATATTCATGAGAGAGAAACATGGATCAGCTGCCTCCTGCACACCTCCCACTAGGGATGTGCCTGCAACCAAGGTACATGCCCTTGACCGGAATCGAACCTGGGACCCTTCAGTCAGCAGGCTGACGCTCTAGCCACTGAGCCAAACTAGTTTCGGCAATAAAATACATTTTTTTTAAAAAAAGCTAATGTGCTTTACAAAGAACTCATGATTAAACAAAAAAGAAAGAAAGAAAGTTAGGAGCCATGCTGAGAAGGGCCTTATACACCGCCCCTCTTAGCACAGACTCAGGCCCTTCTTGTGTGTACCACCACATGTGTACCACACCTGCTCTTCAACCTCATAGCCATCTCCAGCCTCCTCCATTCCACCAGTTCCTCCAGACATTTCTGCCTCCAACCCCCCAACCTCCGCATTCCGGAACACAGCTCACAGAGAATTGACCCCCAGTTCTCTCCCACTATGCTGGACAGTCTGCAATATGCCTCCTCTGGTTCCAGCCCAAGCACTCTGTGCTACTGGAGAAAAGCCACAATCTGACAGATTATCGCACAGGGAATGACAGGTGTCCTGTTTCATTAGGCCTCACTGGAAACTTTACTAGCCCTTGGTTAGCTTTCTCCCCCAGCCTCCTCACTGACTCCCCACTTCTCCCATTGTCTTCGTGCCTCCCTGGGCCAAAGGCTCTTGGGTCTAACTCTGGGTAACCGAGTACTAATTGTATGACCTGAGCAAGTTGCTTAACTTGTCTAAGACCCAGTCTCTGTAGAGTGGTTGAATTGACCACAAATGGGTGTCAACGCCTAGTATGGTATCAGATACATAGCAAGTGTCCAAAACACAGTAGCTATTGTCCTGATCTAGACCCTGGCCACACACCCTTCCCACCTCTAGTCTCAGGCAACCACCCCACTCTTCTCGGTCCCCTCTCTGCGGGCACCTGCTCCACTAGTCTTCCCTTCTACAGTTTCTGTTTCCTCCACCCACTGGTCATTTCACCCCACATCCCACCCTTGATTATAACTGTGGTCAAGTTTCTCAACTTGAAAACAAAACAAAAACATCTCCCCCTTGACTCTGCCTCTGTGTGTGGATCCTTGGAGGAGCCCGAGGCCTGGGCTGCTTCACCAGTCTGTACCCGTGCTCATCCCAAATGGATCAGGAGGGTTGATTTGTTTTTCTTACTTGGGTTTTGCAGAAAACAAAGGAGAAATCACCCACCACTTAAATAGGCAAAGATTTATTATTATTTTTAAAAATATATATTTTATTGACTTTTTATAGAGAGGAAGAGAGAGGGATAGAGAGTTAGAAACATTGATGAGAATCATTGATCAGCTGCCTCCTGCACACCCCCCCACTGGGGATGTGCCCACAACCAAGGTACATGCCCTTGACCGGAATCGAACCTGGGACCTTTACAGTCCACGGGCCGACACTCTGTCCACTGAGCCAAACCGGTTTCGGCAAAGATTTATTGTTGTTTTTAAAAAATATATATCTTATTGATTTTTTAAAGAGAGAAAGAGAAAGGGATAGAGAGTTAGAAACATCGATGAGAGAGAGTTATCAGCTGCCTCTTGCACACCCCCTACTGGGGATGTGCCTGCAACCACGGTACATGCCCTTGCCCGGAATCGAACCCGGGACCTTTCAGTCCGCAGGCCGACGCTCTATCCACTGAGCCAAACCGGTCCCGGCAGATTTATTGTTTTAAATTAAATGTTTGACAGAACAATGTTCATATTCCATAGGACTACTTAAGAGAGAAAGAAGCCGAAGCCGGTTTGGCTCAGTGGTAGAGCGTCGGTCTGCGGACTGAAAGGTCCCGGGTTCGATTCCAGTCAAGGGCATATACCTTGGTTGTGGGCACATCCCCAGTAGGGGGGGTGCAAGAGGCAGCTGGTCGATGTTTCTCTCTCATTGACGTTTCTAGCTCTCTATTTCTCTTCCTTTCTCTCTGTTAAAAATCAATAAAATATATATTAGAGAGAGAGAGAGAGAGAGAGAGAGAGAGAGAGAGAGAGAGAGAGAGAGACGGAAGTCCGCTCACACTGTGCTGGGCAGATCCCCCGTGTACCCCAGCGCAATTATCAGACACAGCAATGCACTCTGAGGAGCAGCCGAGACAGACACATATGCTCACGGCCAGGTGACACATGAATCAGCTTTGGTGACACCCAGCAGTCTTTGTTGTTTCAGTTTTATGGTCTCTGTTAGAACTGGAAAGATGCCAGTCAAAGGGTGACTGGCCTGGGTTAAACTAAGCACAGGATACAGTCTTTTCTCCAATAGCTAGCAGGCAAAGATGGGTTGATAGCTGAAACCGGTTTGGCTCAGTGGATAGTGTTAGCCTGCAAACTGAAAGGTCCCAGGTTCGATTCAGGTCAAGGGCATGTATCTTGGTTACGGGCACATCTCATCGATGTTTTTTACTCTTTATCCTCTCTTCCTCTCTGTAAAAGAACTAATAAAACATATTTAAAAAAAAAAAAAAGATGAGATAATAGAGTCTGCTGTTGATTAAACCTCTCACAGGAAGGCAGCCCAGGATGGGTCTTGTCACAGTAGGTGTGGGAACTAAGGAAAGATTTCCAAGGAATGGAGAATTCAGGAGCAAAAGTCATCCCTAACTTTTATCTTTGGCTGAAATGCCTGTTCTGCATGTTGTTGGCTTGAGAACCAGAGTCGTTTCTCTCATTTCAGAAGCATCAAGGGAAAGGATGGATTAGGCATGCCATTCTCGAAGTTGATAGTGTTAAGTGCCAGCCTGTGTGTGTGTGAAGCATTGGAAAGATGTCTTTCAGCTACTACATCCCCTTATAAACGCTATGCATATTCTCCCTACTTCTCACCTAAACCTTTCAGAGGGAGAGTCCACGATTGCTCTTCCCACTTTTTAAAAAAGTATATATATATTTTTTACTGATTTCAGAGAGGAAGAGAGAGAGAGAGGGAAAGGGAGAGAGGGAGAGAGGGAGCGAGGAAGAGGGAGAGAGAGAGGAAGAGAGAGAAACATTAATGATGAGAGAGAATCATTGATCAGTTGCCTCCTTCATGCCCCGCACTGGGGATTGAGTCGGAAACCCAGGCATGTGTCCTTGACCAGACTCTAACCTGAGACCCTTCAGTCCACAGCACGATGCTGAGCCAAACCGGCTAGGCCTCTTGCCACCTTTTTACCCCTTATCTATTCCACAGTACACTGGGATGGGCTCCTGAAACTGCCCTCATTAGGATCATCATTAAACCGTCACAGTTTTTAGTCTAATGGGTACTGTCAGTCCTTCTCCTTCTAGACTTCGCTACTACACTTAAACTATTGTACTACACTTTAAACTCTGCCCCTTGGTTTCAACGACACTCAACCACTCTGTCATATTCCTTCTGTCTTTGCAGATTTTTCTTCCCCTGTGTTCTACTGTTTTCTCATAGTTTTAACATATAAAAATATGTTATTCATTTATTTTTAAAATAACTACTTCTTTCTTTCTTTCTTTTTAAAATACATTTTATTGATTTTTCACAGAGAGGAAGAGAGAGGGATAGAGAGTTAGAAACATCGATGAGAGAATCATCTACACCTTCTCCCAAGTGAGCTGACCAAGTTTCTTGGTTTCTACTAACTCCCAAACCTGTATCTCTATCTTATTTCTATCCAAAGCTTCAGACCCATATGTCCAGTTACCCATGAAGTAGTCCCTAGGTTCCCACCTCAAACTCATCATGGCCAAAGCATCTTCCTTAAGCAAATTCCTCTTCCAGGGTTCACTCTCCAGGTACATGGATGGCATCACCTAGGCACCCCAAGCTAGAGTAATCCCTTACCCTACACCCAATCGGTCAGCAAGTCCTTTGGAATTTACCTCTTACAGATTGTTTTAACCCATCCCTTCTTCCACATCCTTTAAGAGATGATATGATTTAACAGTTAGAGTTGGAGGCATAGATTGGAAGACAAACAAACCCGGGTTCCAGACCTGACTCCCCTTCTGCACATTGCTTACTCTCGGCAAATGTCAGTATTGTATCATCTATGAAATGGGGATTCTAGTGGTACCCACCCTATAGGACTTGTGAGAATGAAATGAGAACATACGTGAGGTCCTTAGTACAGTGACTTGTGGGCAGTAACAATAAGTGTCAGCCCTTATCATTGTTAGCAACATTGCTACCATCCCCACTGACCTCTGACTCCGTTCACTTCCCTTCTGGGTTACTTTAACGTGCTCCTATCTGGCCCCTCAGAATGGTGCCGCGACACGCCCAGACAATTCCTGCTTGTCCTATCCGCCTCTTCTGTGTGGAACTACTTCCAGAACTTTGTTTGCTCAC